TCTGTCTATCTGCTATCTATCTGTGTGGGTACATATGTGTAAACATTAGACATAGTACTTGCCAAGTAATAATCAATACATAGTAATGAAGTAATGGCCTCAAGACCTTTCTCCTTGCTATTTCAACCCGCAATACTCCTTTCCAGACTTTTTCTTTTACATATCTTATAAAGTTCTTATTTGCAAACAGAAACCACCTCTTGCTAATATAAGGAGAAAGTAAATGTATTACAAGATACTGCTGGAATTATAAGCATTATAAGCTTTTTGGAGTGAATGTTGATACAGCTACTTTGTCTTTGTCTGCTAAAGTTAATATATACAGGATATATGATTTAACATTTCCACTCCTACCTATAGACCACACAGAGAAAAGTATACATATATGCACCACAAAGCATGGATTAGGGTGTCCATAGACATAAAGTAGCCCCAAAATGGAAATAATACAAATGTCCATTAGCAGTGAAATAGATAAACTGTGATACATTCACAGAATACAATACTACACAGCAATGAAAGTGAATGAACTATAGCCATACACAATAGTATGATTAATCTCATAAATATACTGTTAAGAGAAAAAATGGAGGTCCAAAATAATACACTTTGTGTAATTGCATTCATATTAAGTTAAAGAATAGTGAGAGTAGAACCTATCCTATTAGAAATCACAATAGTAGCTTTATTTAGAACAATGACTAAGAGGAGTTTCCACCTGGATAGTCTTTAACTGGTCTCCAGGTTGCTGAGTAGAGAGTGTCTGTACCAAAAGAGCTAGAAATATTTATCCTACTTGGAGGTCTGGGAAACCCTAGGCTGCCTTGATTTTAAAAATGTGAGAGGAAAGTCAGACCCACTAAGGTACTTGGGGTACCTTAAACATGACCTAAAAACATCTGCTTTTTTATTTGTACCATAAATTTTCAAATTAAAAGGTCATTGGCTTACATCTCTCTACTGAAATAAAATTACTGTAAATTCTGGGTTTTTTTGCTAGTAACATTTATATAAACTTTTGAACCAAATTGTAACAATTGGTACAAATTCTTCTGTAACACTTTTGTGTAATACAATATAATCTAGTTTGTAAGTCATATCTATTGGGGTGTTGTTTTGAGGGAAAAAAAAAAACATGTAAAAATGCCTGAGACACTGTGTCAGATTTGAGTGGGCATGTAACAAAGCTATAAGGTAGTTCGAGCAGATAAGATGAACCATAACAATGGTTTTTGTCAAATCCAGATCTTCTGACACTAAATTATGTGCTGTTCAATCTGTTCAGTTTGAATAATAGAGCACATCTTGTAATAAAGAAAGTCAAATGGTTGACTTAACCATTGAAAAGCAAGATAAGGACAGAACCCTGTGCTTTGATTCCCATGCTAGAAACTAATCTGGACACGATCAGTTCAGTCACCTCAGCTTTCTTCTAAAGTCCAGCTGGGGGAGGACTCTCTCTCACCAGGAGGTGCTCATGTAGTGATGGGTCAGTACAGCTTTTATAAAACATCTCTCCCGTTCCTGAGAATTATAATCATAATCACACATATATAGATAAAACTTTACAGATTACATGATGTAGATTCTACAATGTGGACAATATTTTTAGGAATGTTTTGCTTTTTCCTTATTAAACTAGTAGTTAAAGTAGGAGGGACTGATTTTAGCTCATAAAACATGTAACACCAAGATCCAGTAAAGGGGAAGTAGTAGTAACGGGGACCCCACTGCACACATCCCGTATTGGAGGTCATTGGTTACTTCTATCTGCTCTATTTCCTGTCAAAGCCAGGTCATAGACTATTCGTCCTCAGTCATTTCCCTCTTACTGTGAATTAATACTAACATGCCATCTTTCCCAGGAAATTTTATACTTTAAGTCTTTTGCTAATTATTAATTACAAAATGAATGTATTTTCCCTTCAATGAGCAGGGTGTTCTTAGCCTTTGCATTTCATATTGCACCACTTAATCTGCTCTCTAGGAGAATTATGCCAACTGATCCCATTTAATTTCTAGTAATTCAAGACATTTTTATGATTAGTTAAGGGCTATATTGTTTTGAAATGGTATCATTTTATATGCTTAGAGATATCAGAGCAACTCTCAGCAACTTTTTAGCTTCAGGGAGAAAAGATTAAGTTATAATCTCTGTGTTATGCTTACACTTGAAAAATGAATCCAAGAATCATGAAAAATAAGTTGCAAGAGTAACAGCCAAGATGCATCTGCTTGGGGAACACACATACATGCACACACAACATCCTGAAAATTGGGGAGTAATGACTTTATTCTTTCTTCCTTAAAAATTATAGTTAGGGCTCTTCCTGGTGGCAGAGCAGGTTGGAGAACTGGACTGCAAAGCTAAGCCAAGCCATGGCTGCTTCAATGCAAGTTCAATACCCAGCCCTGGAGGTGACCCACATGGCGCAGCAGACCTCTCCTGTCTCGCCCCCTGCTCCCTCAGCAGTGTCCTTAGTCAGTTTGCCTGTTCTGCTCCCCACTCTATCTGGTGAATCCTCACACTGCCCCCGTACCTCTGGCCTGTACCCCTATTCTGTATGCATAAAAAATTTAAAAATCTTAAAACATTAGAAGAAAAAAAGTTATAGTTAGTATAAAGCATACATGATTATTTCATTTTATATTATTTTACCATTATGTAAAAGTTGTATGAATTGATTTCACCTTTGAGAACAGAAATTTTGTTCACCTAGTCTCAGAGTCCAAAGCTTGGCTTAACCTCTAGTGCACATTATTCACAGGTGCTTTTGTCTTCAAAATGAAACTTGTACTTTTTCAGACAGATCATTTTAGGTGATTTTGGAATCCAGTTAAATTTACTTTGTCACTTGTATTTTACATGAGCTGATTTGGAAAACTGCTGCAATATATCAGCTTATTTTTGTCCTCCAGTATTATATCAAGATAAAAATATAAGTTTCATCTGTTATGTTATGATACACACTGGTTTACATAGATAAACAGTTTATAAAATATAATTGAATTTTATCAATTGTTTTTTTAACTGTTTGCCAACAGAATTGGTGATTGTTTTGATATGTGATAATGTTTTAGTACCTGACAATTCTTGATCTTTCAGCAGTGCTATCTTCATTCATTTAGAGCCCTTTACAAAATAAATACAGGATTCTGGGTTCACAAAGCAGGAAGAATGTAGAAGGTTCTCCTTCCTTTTGCAGTCTTTCTGTTGTCATGGCATTTTTCGCTTTCTATTGATTGTCATTCTAAGTTAAGAAATAATAAGCTTAAATTATTGGTATGAGTTTTATTATTTCTGTCTGTGTTGTACATTGTTAGTGCTTTACGTGTAAAAGAATGTAACTTGGCATGTAGTCTCTGAAATTAACAATCAATATTTAGTGGCTTTGCATGCACATGTATCTCATTCTTAGCAGAACAGTGAACATACTGCACAGCTAGCTCAAATGTTTTTACTTGGTTTCTTGATACAATATATTCTACCAACACTTTATACTTTCAGTTTATTTTGAGTAAGGAAGGACTTAAAGGAAAAGGAACTATAAATTATAATGTTTATGTTTCATAAAACACTTACTGCCTTCATATTGTGTGCAAGTTCATGTTGAAATGGGAAGCATGATCTCTTGAGGCTGTCTGTCCTTTACTCAATATAGCTGTAACACACTTACCTGGTACTTGGTTGAGTCTCCAAGTGCACAGGCATGTGGGATTGTATTCCCATGAGACACTGCAAACACTCAAAGCAATTGGGGTGTGTTGTGTTTGTCTCCTCTGTGCATCTTCCATTGTTCTCATTGGACTTCCTTTACAAAACAAAGTTTAAACATAAGATTATTAAGGATTTTTAAATCACAACAGCAGAACTTAGCAAGCATAGAACTTATACCAAGCATGGGGCTCTTCTTAGCTGTGCATGCATGGAGCTGGCCCAGAATGTCAGAGTGGAACTATAGCAAAGGTAATTTGTTGCCAGTATGTCATCCAGAAGATAGTTGCTGTAATTTATTGATACTTTGATTATTCACATGATCTGTGCATATTTTTTTTTTCCTTTACATAAACAAAAACACAATCTAATAGTTAAGACTCAGGCTCTCCCTGGTGGTACAAGGGGTTAAAGCGCAGTACTATGAAACTGTCCGTAACACTGCAGCATGAGTCCAATCCCTGGCCAGCGTGATGACCCACATGATGTGGCAGACCTCTCCTGTCCTGCCTGCTGCTCCCCTCAGCAGTGTACTTCGTCGATCTGCCTGTTCTGCTCCCCACTCTGTCTCTGGTGGATCCTCTCATCCAACCCCCCATATCACTGGCCTATACCTCTTGTATGCATAAACCAATAAATATTTTTAAAGGTTTATTTATTTATGCATACAAAATTGGAGTACAGGCCAGAGGTGCAGGGGCGGTGAGAAGATTCACCACAGACAGAGTGGGGAGCAGAACAGGCCGACTGAAAAAGTACAGTACTGAGGGGAGCAGTGGGTGGTCAGGAGAGGTCTGCCATGCCTTGGGGGTCTTCTCTGGGGCTAGGGATCGAACTTATGCTGAAGTGGCTTTATCTTCTTAGTGTTGTGCTTTAACCTGCTGCACCACCAGGGAGGACCCACAAATATATTTTTTAAGTAAAAGTAAAAGTTAAGACTCAACAACCCCAATCCATGTACAGGTTTTTATGCCTTTGATAGGCATTCTTTCTCATTTTCTACTGTAACTCAGGAGGTACTGTGACTCTCTACTTTTATTGAGGAAACAAAGACTCAGTGTCCTCATCAGTGTATATAAATAAATATATATACACACACAAACACACAAGATGACGTGAGGGCTTTTCCCTAAGCACAGGCAGAGAACCAAATCATTAAAATAACAGCAACAGCAGAAGCCTTAGTTATTGCTCAATAATTAACTATGATACAGATAGACTGATTGTCCTGAATCCAATCTCTTCTCTATCTCCCTAAATGTTCTCATCTTACTTCGCTCCCCAGGATCCTGCCTGATCTCTGAGTCTCCACCTCACACTCTTCTAATACTGTCTTCAACAAGACATCAAGGTAATTCTCATAAAGCATATATCTGACTCAGGCAATACTTGTCTACAGTATTTTGCAGGTGCTTTCATTTTTACATGATAAATCACAATCCTTCATGGTTTGGCCTCTTCACCTCTTTAATCTCTTAGGCATCCTCAGACCTTTTCTACAGTTTTCAATTATTCAAATTTATTTATCTCTCTATATGCATATTTACCTATAGCCTGGAAAATTGTACCATATTTTCCATGCCTTTCCCACTCTTTCCTCTAAGAATTATCTTGGGAATTTATCCTTTGTTATTTATCCATTGTCATTTATTTACTAAGTAAGTATTTTTGTTATTGCTGTTACAGTGTGCCAAGTGCTATGTTAGAATTTAGAAACACAGCAGTGGATCAAAATATAGATATCCCTGATGCTGGAGAGCTCAGTCTAGGGAAAGGATGATAAATAATATATGCTTTTGTATTAAAAGCACACAAACACACACACAAAGAAATTCTCAAATCAATGACAACTTGGACAAGTGCTACAAAGGAGAAATGCTTTGTAAGATGAAAACATAGAAGGTGATCAGACCCAGTGGAAATTGCAGTCAAGCTGCATATTGACGGGGAAATTGGAGTAGCTTGGAAAGGAAAATGCAGAAGTTGAGAGGGGTACTGGGAGCTGAGAGAGGTTTTTGGAGGAGAGAAGAGCACAAAGAAAGATTCTGTGACAAAAGGGAATCAAAATTCCAAGCAATAAAAAGAGGAAGTGATAGTCAGGAGAGGTAGGAAGAGACCTAACTATGAAGTGTCATGTAGGCAAGACAGAAGTTTTGCATTGAAGGCAGTAGGAAACCTCTGCAGTGTTTGGTTTAAGAAAAAAGGGTGTAGAGCAAGAGAATCTCAATTTAATGTCTTTTAAAAAAAATATCTCAATCTCTTTGTGGTAGTGTGGGGAGCAGATTTTAGGGGAACAAGAATGGAGTGTCTTCTAAAAGACCAAGGAAGAGATTTTTATGAGTGAAATGTAATAGAATTTTGATTAATATGGCTTTGCATTGTAATGTGAAGTTTGTACTTTCTGTTCTTTGTTGTCAGAATTGGCTTTAGTTATTAGAGTTTTCTGTAGTTCCATGTAAATTTGGGAAATATTTGCACTATATCTTTGAAGAATGTGTGTTTTGCTTCGGGTATGATGACTATTTTAATAATGTTTATTTTCTCAATCCATGACCAAGGAATATTTTCCCATTGCTTTGTGTCTTTTCTTTCTTTTAATAATGCCTTATAGTTTTTACTGTATTTAGGTCTTTTACCTCTTTTATTAGGTTTATTCCTAGATACTTGTTTTTATCATGAATGGATGCCTAAACTGGTAAAATATACTTTCTGCATCTATTGATTTGATCATATCATTTTTATCTTTCCTTTTGTAATTATGATAGATATTATTGATTGATTTGTGGATGTCAAACCATCCTTGTAAATTTGAAGTAAGTACCATTTGGTCATGATAGATAGTCCCTATAAGGTTTTGTTGAATATGATTTGCTAAGATAGCAACTTTTGTGTCTTTGTTTATCAGGGATATAGGTCTGTAGTTTTCTTTGTGATGTTTTTGGTATCTGCTTTTAGTGTCGGCTTTTGATATCAGAATTATGTTGTTCTTCATGAAAAGTGTTGAAAGCATTCCCTCTTCTTCAGGTTTTTTTTGAAAGAGTTTGACAAGGATAGGTACTCACTTGACTTTGAAGGTCTGGCAGAACTCAATAGTGAAACCATCTGGTCCTGGAGTTTTGTTTATTTGGGAGGCTGGAATGTTTTTTCAATTTTCTTGCTTGTAATTTGTTTAGGTTTTTTTTTCTTCCTGATTCATTCTCAGAAGGCTTTATGCTTCTAAGAATTGGCTCATTTCTTTGAAGTTGCCTAATCATTGGTATATAAAGATGTTCACATTAGTTTCTCATGGCTCTGTATTTTGAGAAGTCTAGTATAACTTCAGTTTTGTTTCTGATTCTATTCACATTTTCACCTTTTACTTAATAAATATAGCCAGAGGATTAAGTCTTATTTTACTTTTTTTCAGAGCCATTTTTGTTTGTTTGTTTCACTGATATTTTGTACTCTTTTCAATTTTCTATTTATTTCTGCCCTGGTTGTCATTATTTCATGCCTTCTATTGTTTCTGGCTTGTTTAGTCTTTTTCTAGTTTCTATGGTGTAAGATAAGATTGTTTATTTGCAATGATTCTTGTGTGCTTGTATTGCTGTTTACTTCCCTCTTAGCACTGTTTTTTCTGTGTCCCATAGTTTCATCTAGCTCTCTTTTCATTTTCATTTGTGTTCAGTTGTTTTTTATTTTCTCCTCTGATTCCTCATTAACCCAATAGTTATTTACTAGTATGGTGTTTAGTCTTCACATGCTTAGCTTTTATTTCACTTAGTTTTTACAGTTGACTTCTAGCTTGATACTATTTTGATCAGACAATTTCAGTCTAATTGAATTTATTAACATTCGTTTTGTGACCCAAGATTTGGTCACTCCTCAAAAATGTTTCATTTGCACTTGAGAAGAATGTGCATTCATCAGTGCCCTATAAATGTCTATGAAAGTTATCTGGTCTAGTTTGCCCTTGAAGACTTTTTCTGTTGATTTTCTGTCTGGTCTATCGTTCAGTTACTATTATGTTGCTGTCAGTGTCTTTTTAAGTTCGTTAATGATTGTTTGCATATTTTGATGCTTCTGTATTGATGCATATCGATGAGTTTTGTATCTTCCTGATATATTGATACCTTAATCATGATCATCCCTTTCTTTTTTCTTATTGTAATATCACTCTCCCTGTCTATTTTAGTGTTTCATTTGCTTGTAGGAATGTTTTATAACCTTTTACTTTGGACCTATGGGCTTTGAGCTTAGATGGGTTATGTGGAGATATCAGTAAGTTGGTTTTTTGATCCAAGCAGCCAATGTGTTCTTTGATTGGTGAGTCTAATTCATTTATATTTAAGATGATCATGGATAAATTAGTCTTGCTACTCTACCAATTTGTCTTTAATTTTCTGGCTCTATTTATTTTTTGAATTTTTTTGTGGACTTTATTGTCTTTGATTGAAGTAAGAGAGCTCCTTTTCACATTTACTTGAAGGGGGGGGCGTCAGCTTTTATTTGACTGGGAAGACCTTCATTCTCCCTCATTTCTGAAACAGTCTTGGAGGATATACTACTCTTTGTTGGCATTTTTTATCTTGCAGAGTATCAGCTTAGACCATTGACAAAAGCTTGATTGGAATACCTTTGAAAATTTCCTGTTATACAGCCACCTTCAATAATCTTTCTCTGTGTTAAACTTTTAGTAGTTTCACTACTATATAGTATTGTAAAGTTCTCATTACATTTAGAAAACCAAATGTTCATTTAGATTCATGGATGTATGTATTTAAATTCTTCCCCAGATCTGAGAAATTTTCCTCTATTAATGAGAGGAAAGACCTCTTTGAATAAACTCTCTGTTCCTTCTCCCACCCCCTTTGACTTTTGGAATATACATTATCCGTATGTTGCCTTTCTTAATGAAACTAGATAGTTTCCTTGAAGTGTTCCTTCACTTTTATTTACATCTTCTATCTCTCTCTTTTTCCACCAAGAGTCCTTTGTGCATTACTATCTTCAAGTGACAGATTCAGTGCTCCATGTGATCTACTTTGCCTTCTTAGTTTTCTTTTGCATACTTGATCTCATTTACTAACTCCCTTGCATCCTAAATTCTTGTTATTCTCTTAATGAAAGCTTCAATTTAAATCTTGTCCATTAATTTTATTTCTGAGCTCATTCACTTGTTTTTGTAAATATCATTTTAATTAGTTTTTCTGAGTTCCTTTGTATCACTTTGATTTGTCTTTCTGTTTTTTCTTTTTTCTTTTTGAGTTTATTCTAACAATTTTGAACTATTTATCTGACAGAGAAAAACAGTTTCCCAAATTTCAGAGATTAGAGTCTAGATATTCTCTCCATATGAAGTCATATTCCTTTGTTTCATATATTTTTTGTTTGGCCATTTTACTATTTCCCTATTTTTTCACTATCTTTATTTTAGCTTGGTGAGTTGAACTTCTCTTTCCTTTCCTGCAGATGGCACTGTGGTTTGACTTGACTTTTTTGTTGTTTATTGAGGGATTCCATAAATATTTTTTAAAGATTTATTTATTATTGCATAGAAGAAGTGGGTGTAGGCCAGAGATGTGGGGAGAAGGAGGTTGAGAGGATTCATCAGAAACAGTAGGGAGCAGAAGAGGTAGATTTACTGAACTACACTGCTAAGGGGAGCAACAGGAGAGACAGGAGAGGTCTGCTGCACCCTGTGTGGGTTTTGCTGGCTGAGGATTGAACTCGATCCTCCCTGGCTGAGGATTGAACTCAGACCAACTTGGTGATAGTGCTGAGACTTAACCACTAGGCCACCAGGGAGGCCCTTCCATAAATATTGATACCTGTTTTTGCAGTTGCTAATGTCAGTAGGATGGGGAAGGTTTCTAGAGATGCTAGCTGCTGGTGTATATGTGTTAGGGTGTGGGTTAGCCCATGTTTGTGACACCACTGACAGACCTTATTTCTGGGATTTGAGGTCTGAGATTAAGCATGTTGTGTGCTACCAGTGAGCTTTACTAGGTCGGTACCAGCCCTAAGGGCTAGGGAAGGGGAGGTTCAGTCTAGACTGCTTTATTTTTCCTTAGGGGAGACCCAGACTACCTGGAACAACCTGGATTCTCCCTGTGGGTTTCCTCTCTTTCCAGAGTGTGTACCTCTACGCCATTTCTTGTCCTCTCCCCCCTCAGGATCCCAGACTGAGCTACCAACTCTGCTGTTTATGCCTCTATGCTAAATCTCCAGGAATCTCTCTCCACCCACCTCCTATTCAGTGATAAGGACTCTCTTCTGTGTTCCCTTTGTGCTGTCTATTGTCTCTAATGTCCAAACCATTGGACTCACTCAAGGTAGAGTTCCTCTGGTAACTCTGGTATTTGTTACTTC